GGGGGGGGGGGGGGGGGGGGGGCAGGCTGGTGACTCAGTCAGCTCTTGGTGTATATGTGTGTCCTTGTGGTCCCAGCAGCTCCCCAGGGTGGGGCAGGAACCAGAAGTCTCCCAGAGCCTTTTCCCCACCCCCAGGTGTTTTACAAGCCACCTGACCCTCCCCTACTATAGAGAGCTCATAAGCTGCCAGATTCCTTGGTGTTTCCTCACTTTTAGGAGAGGGAACCTCAGGGAAAGTCCCTGGCCTGGCCATCCCAGGCACTGTTAGGAACCGGGATAGGGAGCTGGCCTGGGGACTCCACAGCAGAGGGTCAGAGGGTAGCAGGCTTAGTCCCAGGCTTCTTGAGGAAGATGAGGGATGGGAGTGCTCCCTGCTCCCTCTTCCTGCTCAGGCCCAGGGGATGGCAGGCTGGCCACCCTTGGGGGCTGACTTTGACTTTCCTCTGCCCCCTAGCCATGGGAACAAGGAGGTCTTCTCCTGCCGTGGCATCCTGCTAGCTGTGAATTGGTTTCTGGAGCGGGGCCACACTGACATCACAGTGTTTGTGCCATCCTGGAGAAAGGAACAGCCCCGACCTGATGTGCCCATCACAGGTGAGTGCTACCATTAGAGACAAATGGCCTTGCTGCCCCAGGAACCCTGGGCTCCCTAGAGAGACCCTTTCAGTGGGATGGACCACTTCTAGATCTCATGCAGGGACCAGCTTCTTGTCTCAGCTCTTGCTGTCCTTAGCAACTCTGCTCTGAATAGCAGTCACTGGAGATACCTTGTCCAGCCTCCTACCCCAGCCACTGGGCAAGCACCCCATCCTCTTGGTGGGCTGCTCCTTCATCCCAATGCAGAGAGACAGCTTGCATGGTAGTTTGGGCTTTGGGCCAAGGCTGCTGCCAGGATTTCATTCCTGGCTCTGCTCCTTCCTGGCTCTGTGACCCTGGACCAGTTATGCAGCCTTAATCTGAGCTACTTGCTCGTAAGTAAAATAGGATGATAACAGGACCTGCCTCACAGAGTGATAGTGAGGATCATATGAGCAGTCATGTGTAATGCTTAGCAGAGTGCCTGGCACACAGTAAGTGCTCAGTGTTAGCTCTTACTACTGATCTTATCACTGTTCTCACAAGGACCCCCAACTTTTCAGTAAAAACTGAAATCTTGGAGCAGGCTGGCTGAGGCCACTATCTCCAGAAAAGTATCCTTTTCCACATGTGGTCTGCCAGCCTCTTCCCAGGCTAGGCAGGGGGCAGATCCATGACACTCCACCAGGCCTGCTCAGGCCAGGGCTCCTCCATAACCCACTGCAGGACAGGCTGGGTGACAGCAAAAGCCAAAACCACATTTGGCCTGACCAGACCTGATGGCCAGTAGGGGAAAAGGAAAGGCCCAGCTCTGCACTTGGGAGCCCTTTCTGAGCAGGAAATGTAGCCTGTTCTCATGTGTTTTGGGTTTTCCATCAGTTTGGTATTGTGCCTCTGCTGTGTGCAGGGCCAGGTGAGGGGCTGGGATATGGCCAAGGCCTCAGCATACCTGGTTACTGCCCTAATGAACTTGGACTCAACAGCCCTTGGTTGCTGGTCCCAGGAGGGTCTGGAGCCCTGTGGGCCAGGCTCTGGTCTAGGCCCTGACTCCTGACCCTTTCCCAGACCAGTACATCTTACGGGAACTGGAGAAGAAGAAGATCCTGGTGTTCACACCATCGCGGCGTGTGGGTGGCAAGCGGGTGGTGTGCTATGACGACCGCTTCATCGTGAAGCTGGCCTTCGAGTCCGATGGGATCGTGGTCTCCAACGACACTTACCGGGACCTCCAGGGAGAGCGGCAAGAGTGGAGGCGCTTCATTGAGGAGCGGCTGCTCATGTACTCGTTCGTCAACGATAAGTACGCTCCATCCTGGAGGGCACCAGAAATACCCTGGGGAGGTGTCGACTGGGAGGAGCTCTGCAAGGGACCCTCTGACCATGAGGGCAGTGGCCTTGGATTCCAGCACTTTAAGGAGTGCAAGATGGACATCCACCAGTGTAAGAGGGTGGAACCAAGTCAGGCAAAGGGATTTTTAACTTGGGACTAGGGCAGTAGCATTGGTGACAGGATGTGGTCAGTGGTTCCAAGGTAGCCTTCCTAGCTCCCAGTACTAGATCTCTGGACCAGAAGCCTGTGGGGCATGGATTCAGACAGTCACATTGCCAGCCTCCCAACGACTTCAGAATTCGCAGCATGAGAGTTGCCCTAAAGGTGCCCAAGGGCTGGGGCCTGCTGGACTGGGAATCCTCCTTCACTACCTTGGAGAGACCCCCCCTGAGAGCTGAGAACAGTCCCAGGCGGTTCCTGCTGGGCAGGCACCAGTTTCAGGGGCTGTTCTTAGTGATGAGACTTGCCACCCACCCCTGCCCCCAGCAGTTAGAAGTTTCCCTTTGGTACCCCCACCTACCGAGAGCTCTTTCTCCTCCAGGTTTATGCCCCCTGATGACCCCCTGGGCCGGCACGGGCCCAGTCTGGACAACTTCCTGCGTAAGAAGCCACTCTCCTCTGAGCAGAGGAAGCAGCCATGCCCCTATGGTGAGAGACCCAACTCCACCCGCCACAGACCTCACTCTTCCTTTCCTCTCCCACCCATCTGCCTGTGTCTTGCGTTCTTCCTTTTGGAGACCACCACAACCAGACCACCCAGCCCCACATTCCTGTGCTGCTGCTCACTCCCTCCCACCTGGACTCTGGAGCTCCTGTTTTGAGTTCTACTTAATTCTTCTCCTAGGGAGGAAATGCACCTATGGGATCAAGTGCCGATTCTTCCACCCTGAGCGGCCAAGCTGCCCCCAGCGCTCAGTAGCTGACGAGCTCCGTGCCAATGCCCGCCTCTCACCTCCCAGGGCCCCAGGCAAGGACAAGACTGGCCGGCGGCCCTCCCCTTCGCCTCAGCCCAGCTCACTGCCAGAAGAGGGTGAGAAACGCAGCCTGGACAAGAAGAAGCTGGGGGCCAGGGTATCCTCAGGGCCCCACCGGGAGGGTCTGACACAGGCCTTTGCCCCACCGGGCAGGAACCTTCTACCTAGTGGGGGCAGTGGGGGCAGCTTCGGGCCCACAGACTGGTTCCCCCAGACCCTGGACTCTCTGCCATACACCTCCCAGGACTGCCTGGACTCGGGCATTGGCTCCCTAGAGAGCCAGATGTCAGAACTGTGGGGCGTTCGTGGAGGTGGCCCTGGGGAGCCAGGCCCCCCTCGGCACCCATACACTGGTTATAGCCCCTATGGATCTGAGCTCCCAGCCACTCCAACCTTTCCTCCCTTCAGACAGGCTGTAGGTGCTGGCCACTTTAGTGTGCCTGCCGATTATGCACCCCCACCACCTGCCTACCCCCCTAGAGAGTATTGGTCTGAGCCATACCAGCTGCCCCCACCCACCCCGGTCCTACAAGAGCCCCAGGTGCAGGGCCCAGGGGCTGATGGGGGCCCATGGGGTGGAGCAGGCAACCTTGCCAAAGAGCGGGCCAGTGTGTTCACCAAGCTGTGTGGCGTCTTCCCCCCACACCTGGTGGAGGCAGTGATGGGGCGCTTCCCACAGCTCCTGGACCCCCAGCAGCTGGCGGCCAAGATCCTCTCCTACAAATCCCAGCACCCCAATGGGTAAGCTGGCCCTGGTGGCGTGCAGAGCAGCATCTCCAGCCTCCAGGGACTGCTCAGCTGGGGCACCCTGAGGTCCATACGAGTGGCTGGATGGGGGAGGACTAAAGTAGGGAAAGGAACCCACAAACCAAAGATACTGTAGGATTGATTCTGGCCCACATGGCACCTCTAGCTGCCTGCTCAGTGGATCAGAAGCGATCACCCTGTTGATACACATTGTATCTCTGTAGTTTAAGGAGACGCTGCCAGTAACGGCTGTCGGTCGTGGCTGAGGCCCAAACCCTCTCTTCTCTCAGAGGGCGGGGAGGGAGGCAAGGGAACAGAGGCCTGGGCTGGGGGCTCTGTGCAAGGCTCCCCCACCTCCACCCCGTCCCTGGGATGCTGGTCTTGGCTGGCTAGTTGGGCACCATGTGCCTGCCCTCCAAGGGCCCCTCCTCTAAGCCAATGAGGCCTCATCCATGCTCTCACTGGGCATGAGGCTTCATGTTAGTAAGCAAAATGCTTCTTATACCCACCTCCTGCCCCACTCTTCATTCCTGCTGCCCTTGTTTGGGGTGAAGGGCCTCTGTCCTCACCCTCTCTTCCTACTCAGTCACCTCACCCTTCCCCAAGGGTGAGGAAGCGTGTATGTGTGTACAGATAGAAATTTTAAATCTCTTAAGTGGAAAGTCCTTACTTTCCAGAACACATCAATAAAGTATAACATGAGCCCTTTTGAGAGATGATCTTTGTTGTGCTTGGGGGGTGTCAAGTTGGTCTAATGCCCTCAGCCCACACCGGTTCTTGGACCCCTCTCCTCTGGAAGGTTTCAGAGGTCTACCAAGAGTGCTGTCCCTTTGGACAGAGTTATCTTTGCTGAGGGTTTGGGCTGCGACTTGATTTCTTAAGAAGGATGTGGCTATTCAAGAGAAGGAAAACATGGGTGGAACAGAGAGGAGCGAAAGTTAGGAAGCAGAAGTCTAAGTAGGCTTGGAGTTTGTGGCAGGAGCCTAGGGAAGGAAACCTGCCTGCAGGGAGAAGAGAGAAAGATGGCTTTGGCGAGCAATGGGTTGGATGGAATGTACACAGGAGGCCTCAGACATTCAGCTCTTAGCCTGTCCTAGACCCAGGCCTGCAGACCAAGGGAGTACTGGGTCAGGAGCAGCTGAGAGAGAGAGCCAGGGCCAAGGAGGGACACAGGAGGAGACAGAGACACCTCTGAGCAAGAGGTTAAGAGGTCATAGTCCACATTCAGGAGCTGACTCTGCTATTGATTGTGTCATCTGGGGCAAGTGACTACCTCTCTCTGGGTCTCAAGTTTCCTTATCTATGAAATGATGAGGATCATGGTGCCTACCTCACAGGGTTGTAAACACTATATGAGATGATACATATGGAGGGTGTGACCCCATCCGTGGCACATAGTAAGAGCTTATTAAGAGGTCACTGGTGTTACTCTGTGGGTCTGTGCTCAAAGTGCTTCTGCCATCTCAACCTCCTCTGACCCAAGAAGCAAAGAGGCCGTACATCTCTTGCAGATGAAAAGAGTGTGAAAAGTTGGGCTGACCCATACACAAACACTGTTAGCAGGGGAAAAAATTTAAAAATACTGTTTTAATAAGTGTATCTCTGAACATCTCACCTAAGTTTGTACTTTTTTTTGTGAGGCTCTTATAGTATCTGTACTTTTATTTTTAGAAACCACTTTGCCACAGAACAGCTGTGCAGCATGTTGGGGAAAATGCCACACTGGCAACCCCCTGCACCCTGGGCCCCCACATTGTTCTTTACCCTGAACGTTCTGTAGAAGCCTGCACTGATGGCAGGAATCAGTGCACAATCTGGAAGTCATTTCAGCCAACATTAACTCAAAGCTCCCCCTGCCCTGCCCCTGGCGCCCAGTACTTTTCAACTCTTCAAAGTGTCCTCTGCCTCCTCCTGAGGCTTGGTCTGCCCAAAGAAATGTTGCCTTATTTATAAAGTATTTTTTTCCAATGGAAAACCATACTCCACATAAAAAGGCTATTTATGTGCCTTCGTTTGCTTTATGGGACAGGAACTATAATACTGGAGTGTCCAGTTTATTATCAGCCACCTGGCAGTACTGAGTGACTTGCCCAAAGTCCTACAGAGACAGACTGGGATAGGGCCTTGTGGGCCCCACAAATGTGAGGAGACACTTCTCAGGCCCTGCAGGGATAAGAAGGCAGGAGTGCCCTCCACCCCACCTCTCACAGGCCTCTTAGGTTTGCAGCATATGCATGTAGGCATCCCTCCAGCACAGTAGCTAAAATGACCACCCCATCCACTGACTCAGCAGCAGGGGCCCAGCAGCCCCAGCCCCCCAAGGACCCTCTGCACACCATTGTGGAGCTCGGAGGCCAATGGCCTCATGGATGGCCCGGAAGAAGTAGCATGCTCTCGCCCCTCTTCCCATCCCACCAGCCAGATGGCCACAGACTTGAGCGCTCACACTTGCTCCTTGACCACAGCTGAGCTCTGTTGCCTCTGCTTCTGTGTGAGGGCCTATAAGCACGTGGTGAGTAAGCAGCAGGCCAGGCTCCGTGCCTAATGTCTGGAGGCTGTGACTGTCCTGCTGATTGGCTGACAGTCACTGACAAGGGTAGGCAGAGCCCATGTGGCAGCTCAGGCTGGGTTGGGCTCAGCGCAGGTTGAGTCAGTTTGGCCCAGTCGGCCTAACCCTGCATCCCATGCTTTCCCAGCAGACCAGGCCATCCAGGATTTGGAACCTCCTCTCAGGCCTCTTTCTCAATCTGGCTTCCAGGCAGAGTCACTCAGAGACTGACTGCCAGGCCTAACGCCCAGGCTGCTTATTTCCCACAACATGGGTTTTAACTTGGAAGCCCTCCCCACTGCTCCTACTCTGCCCACTGAAGCAGCTTAGGTAGCTGGCATTCACTCCCAGGGCCTCAGTTTCCCCACCTGTAAACAGTAGACCCAATGAGCCTTGCTTCTCTCTAAGATTTGACAAGATGTAGTTCATATGATAACAGCAGAGACGAGGTGGCCTCGGTTCCTGTCCCACTGACCCTCCCAGAGCCTCAGCTCCCTTGCCTGCCTCACAAGATGTATGTTCGGCTCACAGGGGCTCATGTGTGTGTAAAGTGTGAAGGAGAGGGTGGCAGGGCTGGAATGTGATCCCTGACAAGGAAGCTCAAGCCACTGGATGGGATCAAACTCCAGGTGGCTGCCCTGCTGCTGTTTCCTCCTCTCATTTTCCTGGTTTCAGGAGCTGAGAAACTGATGGGAAAACCAGTGAGTATGCAAATCCTGGGGTTGTTGGGAAATGATCCTGGGAGTTCAAGAGGTAAGGCGGCTTCTGCTACCCTTACCCCACCCCCACCAGCCAGCTCCTTCTCAAGACTTCCCAGCAGGGGCTGACCCTGGGTCCTGCAAGTCCTCTCTCCCCAAATGTTTAACACACGCGTACACACACACACACACCCGCCTTGGGGTCCTGATTGCCCCACCTTGGGAAGCCATGACAACTGTAGCCTATCCATCTTCAGGAAACCTCAGGCCTCCATGGCAGAAGGCCAGCCCAGAATGGATGAAATTCCCTGTCCTGGATGTCTCCATCCACACTTAATCCCCACTGCCCACCTCACTTTTCCAGTCTGGGGAAAACCTGGCAGTCCCTAAAGAGCTGAGAACCTAAACTAGAGCAGGAGAGCTTTGGGGCTCCAGCGGGGGCAGCTCTCCCAAGGCCATCCTAATGCTGCTAACATCCAAGCACAGCTAGTCTCCTGCAGGGTCAGAGGGAGAGCAGTGTCTCAGACAAGGCCACTACTCGCCACCGCAGCTACCACTTCCTCCCTCTACTAGCAAAGCTCTCTGCTCCCTTATATCTCCTAGAAAAGCTGGTATTTGAACCCCTTACCCAGGAGGAGCACTGGTGGCACAAAAATTAAGCACTAGGCTGCTAACTGGAAGGTTGAAGGTTGGAACCAACCCCACCGGGAGCTGAGAAATTGATGGGAAAACCAATGAGTATGCAAATTCATGTTAGCTCTGAGGGAGAAAAACCTGGCAATTTGCTTCCACAAAGATTATAGCCAAGAAAACCCTATGGGGCAGTTCTACTCTGTCACAGGGGATCACTATGACTCTAAATCAACTCCACATTACCTAACCACCACCACCCAGCATGACTTACCTAGCAAACCCCCTAAGCTGGGGGAGGTGCTGGGCAGGCCTCCATTAGAGGCAGAATGAATGAGCAAGAGAATAGGATTCAATGGGACACATGATGGGGGCGCAGAGGTCACATCTGCCTAAACTCTGGGCCTATCTGGTCCTCAGTGGCTCCTGCCCCCAAAGCCAGCCCAAGGACCAGCACTTTTACCCTAGTTCTCGAACCTCAGGCTCAGTTTTTTTCCTAGGCCTTAGCAGAGTGGGTGGAACAAAGGGTGGTGAGTAAGAGCCTATTCTGGGGACCTTCTAGTTCTTGTGAAGGGTGTGGGAAATTTGGCTGAAAGAGACAGGAAGTGGAGCCCTACAATTAAGGAAACCCAAGCCATCCCAGGTCATGGCATGTAAATCCTTCTGGCTAGTTCCTGGAGGGGGAGAGGCCTCAAGTTGTCACCCTGGGGTGTGGCCATTTGAAACTCCTCTCCAGGCAGCTGCTGGTGATCTTAAACTGCTTACCCCTTTAAGCAATGGCTGTAAAACTAGGTGGAAGGAAAGCATCAGGCAACTCACCCCACCCCACACAGAGCTGGGCTTGTCACAGAGAGGTCAGGCCACCCGGAATGGGCCAAAGGCTCTGCTGGTGGCTGCTCTCCAAAGAGCCTCACTGAAGGCCAGGGTGCTCGTGGTGCCCCTGCCACCTGCTGGCGCCTCCTGGTACTACTGCCTGTGGAGCAGGGGGCCTGCTAGTTCCCAGGACCACTAGCAGTGGCCCGGAATGAAGGGCCTAGAGGCAAAGATCTTCTGGATCTGAAAACAAGTACCTAAGGAGAGTAATAAGGAGCTCTGGTGATATAGTGCCTAAGCATTGGACTGCTAGAGTAATAAGGAGCTCTGGTGATATAGTAACCAAACTCACTGCCGTCTAGTCAGATCCGACTCAGAACGACCCCTCCTTGGGTTTCCGAGGCAGCATCACTACAGAAGTAGGTTGCCCAACCTTCCCTCTGAGGAGCGGCTGGTGGGTTTGAACGACTAGCTTTCTGGTTAGCAGTCAGATGCCTTAGGGACTACTCCACCAGGTAGCATAGTGCCTAAGGCATTTGACTGTTAACTAGAAGCCTGGCAGTTCAAACCCACCAGCCACTCCTCAGAGGGAAGGTTGGGCAACCTACTTCCATAGTGATGCTGCCTCGGAAACCCAAGGAGGGGTCGCTCTGAGTCGGATCCGACTAGACCGCAGTGAGTTTGGTTTGGTTTGGTTGATGATATAGTGCCTAAGGCACTGGACTGCTAACCAGAAGGTTGGTGGTTCAAACCCACAGCTTCTCTGCAGAAAGAAGCTGGGGCAATCTACTTCCATCAAGATTTAGCACCTTGGAAACCCAATGGGGGTCACCATGGGTCTGAATTGACTCTATGGCAGTGAATTTGGTTTTGGATTTTAAGGAGAGTAATAGTGCTAAGGCAAAAGTAGGGAGAGCTTAATAGCATTTGCAGCTCCGTCCTGGAACACACCACCAGAGGTCAAAGCCATACCTTCTACAAGTTTAAAGATCCAGAAAATTCCAACTGTTCTGGGTAACAAATTACCCAAGGAAAGTTCATAGGTACTAGAGGAGTAAGAAGGAAAAGAAAACAAGAAAAAAATACAAGTATTCATATTTAAAGAAATACTTTAAGAATATAACACAACAATATCAAATTTTTTAAGCCTATCATTCTGGCAGGGCATGGGGAAATGGGCACTGTCCTGTGGCTGGTAGAAGTGTCAGGGAAGGATGGTAACCAGGGGATCCAGGTTACCCAAGGTGCACATGCCCTTTGACTCAACAATCCCACCACTAAGAATTTATCCTACAGGTGCATGCTCATGTCTGAAAATTAATGTAAGGCTACTCACTACAACAGCCAAAAATAGGAAACAATATTAGTGCCACCAAAAGAGGATTGCCTACATAAATTTTTGTATAGGCATGCAATGGAATATTAAGTAGCCAATAAAAAGGATTATGCAGCTGTATATATAGAATGTTTTTAAAGCTACCTTGCTAAATGAGAAAAGCAAAGAGGGGGTGGACAAGGGCACTGTGAAGAGTATGATGCTAATACGCATGTGTACATATTGCTTATCTATGTACAAAATTCCTCTGGAAAGACACACAAGAAGGTAGTGGTTGCCTTTAGGAAAAGGAACTGGGTGGCTGAGGGACAAATAGACTTTTCACAGAATCTGCTTCAATTATCATTGCATATATGCTATTTGCCTGCGTTACTATCCCTGGGGGGATAGAAAGAAGTTATTGGGGGAAGAGGAAGTAGAAAGAGCTACGCTGGTCAAGAGTCACCAAAGTTTACCTTTGTATTCTAACAGAAATAACGTGGTACATCTTACACACCTCCAACATATATACAGAAAGTTGTTAAAGCATGGTAACCACCATTTTGGTAGATCAAAATGGTCAAATATCAGCAATTTTTTGTGGTTCAACCTTTTATTTATAAATTATCTACATATACTACTGAATCAGCATTTATGTATATTACTAACACATTCAAAATGAGGAGCTAAATAAGGCTGAGGCTGAAAGTAAATATAAATCAAAGATCTAATACTGTCTCTCCATGCTCCAAGGGCCCTCTTCCCACCCTCTCCCTTGGGGACCACTGACTGCCCTAAGGAGTGAAGAATAGCATCAACTTAACCACAGCCTGTTTTAATGGCGAAAACTTGGTATACGGAAGCAGTTTTTTTCAAAGTGAAAATTTTCTTACAAATCATGAAGCTTACCACTTAATGAAATTCAGACATGATACAGGATATAGGGATATAGGAATATAGGGATATAGGATATAAGAGTTAGAACTCCAATCCCTTCTTCTCACCACCTCTGCCTTTCACATTCATACCAGCATTGTAGGCACAGAATAGGACACCACCCTGGGAGAATTTCATGTTTACAAAGAAGTACAATCCCCCCTCACACACACTTTACCTAAACCAGGACAGTGCTCACAGAGTCAGGGCTTCAGATGTGCATTCTAAAGTACATTTTTAAGCCTCAGTAATTTGGAGTAAGGATGAGAAGCAGAGAAGTCAAAATAAAAGCAAAAAATAAGTGACAGAATGTTTCAAAACAGCATATTTCCTGCTTTCAAGTTTAGGTCATTTGCCATTGTTTCCATTCCTTTATTTACCACCTAATGAGATGTCAAGCATACTCTTCATAGACTATGCACAGAGCATGACTACATCACCCTAGCACCCAAGGGCTCAAGCTCAGACTTGGAAATAATTCTGCTGCCCGCTTCCTACTCTTCAAAACAAGATTTTCTTCTAAGCAAATGGTAAAAACTTAATTGTGGGGAGAACATCTAACCTACTGAATTATTGATCAATTTCTTAAACTACTCCAAAGGCCCTTAGGTCTATGGCCCGTTCAGATCAGTACAACAGCTTTGAAAGCCCATGATCTCCAACCACGCTGGCCAAGTCTAACTTCACGAAGCTTCCCTATAGGCCCTCCCACTCCCCAAATGGCTTATCTTTTACTTTGTGGGTTGTTTCTGCCATCTTCAACTGATAGAATCTGATAGTGTTTAGACAGTTTAACTGGAATAAACTCTCTTCTCAGCCCCATGAAAGTGTATTCTCGAGACTCCCCAGGAAGCAAGAGGCAGGCACAAAGACACTGTAAGGCATTTTTCAAAATGTCTGGTAACTACCAAAAGGAGTGAAGAAGTCCCATTCCCATCTCTGTGATAAGAAGGCTAAAGTCCAGAAAAACAAATTTACCCAGATGGCACAAATAAACAGGTATGGCTACTCTCAGCCCACTCATTCCCTCCTTGGTCCCTCTGGATTACAAGAAAGGGATGAAGGGAGTACATATCATTGGAGTCAACTTTTTGTGATTTGACCACAGTTCTTTAAACCAATTCTTTTTCTGTCGCTAAGATATAAAGCAAAACCACACTAATCCACTGAAGGTGTGCCCGGTGGAAGCACCTTGGCAGTGGTGCTAGCAGACATCCCAGTTTAGGGATCACTGACAAGGGCTGCTAAGATGGCCACCAAACAAATCCATCCTAAATGCTATCCAACTTGACAGCAGTGAGGTTTTTTGAGGGGTGTGTGGGTACTATAAAGGCAACTAACTGCCTCCTAAATCAATGTGTCCCTCCATGTTAGCACAATTGTTTTTTGGTTGGTAATACACTTAATTAAAGTCATTACCTCAGCCTTGTTTAGAGCCAAGCAATTTTAATTTATAACCAAAGGATTTACAAATATCACAAGCATGGCAGGCAGGGACCCCATGGCATTTTCTAAACCACCCCAATGTAGGGAACCTAAGCAACCCCTCTGGCCTTGAGTATCTTCAGTATGCCTGGCCAACTTACAGAAAAAATCAGGAGGCCCCTAATCAATGATTAAACTTTACAGAGAAAATGTTTAAGGCAAGCAGCCTGTTTCCAAGTGACATTATATGTACACTTGGGTATGTGCCTATACATAGGTATATTTTCAAATAATACATCTTTTTAACAGCACTACAACTGTATCTCTAGCAAATGCCAACTATGGGAGTCAGAATACATGAAAGTTCTCTGTTTCCCTAAAAGTTAAGGAAATTGCAGGCATCATGTCTCCTCCTCCCCAAAAAGACAAACTGACAAAGCATACAGAATGCTTCAGGTTTCCATTGCTGTTTTTTTTTTTTTTAAAGAACAATCTAAATATAAGAAACTATTTCTCTAAAAACTCTGACATTAAGTTCTGCCACTAAAGACATCTAAACAATCACAGAGTCAAAAAAGAAAAAAAAAATTTTTTTTGAGAACAAGAGTAGTGAAAGCCTTTATGCAACTGACAAGGCAGACTTGTTTCAACAATGGACTGCCATCAATATTGTATTCTACCAGTATTATCACAAATGGAACATATTTTTTTTCTAACAAATATAGAGGCATAAGTAAAGGATTGTCTATGACTAATTAAGAGTCAAAGGGAAGATGAAGCCCTAAACTTATCCCTTAGACCAGTTCACAGCATAGGATTTAAACCCTATACAGTGCCTCTCAACTTGGCTTCATACCAGAATCCCAGGGAATCTTTGGAAGAAAAAGCCCAAGAACTAGGCTATACCTCAGCCAGTCTCCTGGGAGGGATCTGGGCATCAGGGTTTTTGTAAGTTTCTCAGGAGATTCCAAAGTGTAGCCACAGTAAATCACCACTGCTGTAGAGGCACGTAACAATTACCACCAGGTTCCTGGGCCTAATCAACCCCATCAGGAACAAGGGTCTGTGGGGTGTTTCTTTCTGCTCAAGAAATCTATACAGATCAGCTTTCGGTACAATCTTGACCCTTTCCATATGCCTTACTGATTTTAAGAGCAATACTTAAATCAGGCAAATACCAGCAAAGAGAAAAGATGGAAAAAGAAATTTCCATAAGGCATGACATGAATAAATAAAATAAATGGAAAAACCATCTCAGGTTTAAAAGTAAAGTAGGAGAAGTCAAAGCCTGTGATATTTTATTTATACAAAAGAATAAAAATATCTATTTTAAAAGGATTGCTTTAAACTCACGTTTTTCAGCTATTCCTATTCCTTGAACACAAAACTGCTTTCAACTTAGAAAGATTTAAGATAGGTATTATTAAATAAACACTCTTTACCATCTCCCTGCAAAAAGACAAGATAGTCAAGTTCCCCTTTTTATTTATGGTAAACCGAATTATTTTCAGTTAAGAATATTGGCAACTTCACAAAACAGATTATTAGCTATGTCAGTAGGAAGGTATGAGCTGTACAATGGCATTACAAAAAGTCCCAAAAGAAAATCAGATGGTAAAAACAAGAGAAAAATAATAAAACACAAAGAAAATGTCAGATATTTACAGCTTCCATCTGAAATGCAACCTGTGTTCTACTTTCCACATAAAGCTGGCAAACACTCCTGGCGGGTAACATGGACGACGTCGATGCCAACCACTCTGGGGGGGGCATTCATTCCAAGAGGGGAGAAATGCACGGTTAGCAAGTAACCTGCTGGGGTTATAACCATGTCTTGGTCTTCCTGCAGTTCTGTTACTGAAAATGACACCAAGTAAATGATCCGATGTGGTCTTCCAGAAACGACTTTTTTGGTCACCACATTTCAGAACAAACTACTCAGCGTGGCAGGCACCGGGTCAGGGAAAGCAGATGTAGATGGCCACGTACTCAGGTAAGAGATGTTTATCTTTGTGAGGTCGGACAAGGGAAGCAGGGCTCTATAACCTGGAAGCTTCTGTACTAGTGAGTCTTCTAATAGTCCTAAAGAGAGAAAAACAAAAGTCCCAACTTACTCTCAGCAGAATATTGGTTTGAATCTAAGGAGAAAAAAAATCTTATAAACAATGCTGCTAGGAGATTGTTCTGTAGCTAAAGATTCTATTTCACAGGTAATGTACCATACTTCTCATCTGAAAATGGCCTGTCTTCTGACTTCACAAAGAGAATGAAACATCAATTCTGCCCCTTATTAGACCACCTGAGCTCATCAGTCAAAAAAGGCTAGTGTTCACAATTTATGGTTTAATCCAAGGGAAATTTTCTTCAGTAAAAGTGTTAACCTCTTCTTCTCTCCAAAATAGAAAAAGCAAACACCTGAAAGTTAAAAAAAAGTCTATCCAGACAGACCTTCCAGACTTTAAAACTAGCGAGTTGTGACCCCAGATTAGGAACACTCAGCCTCTGAAGACTGGAACGTATTTTTATAACCATCTACAAAATTGCCAACCTTCTGAAATGGCCTGGCTGATACTTACAGCTCGTGGTTTTTTGTTTAACTTCAGATCAATCCTGTGATAGGAAAGATAAAAGATATTTGCATTTTAATTTCCAGAAAAAAAGGCCCAAGAGTCAGCTACTGCATAGGACACAAGCTATAACAAAGACTATTTGGTTAAGTATAGTCCACACTCTTCATCAGACTATGCCATATTTAGTTGTTTACCCAGATGTTATTAAGCAAATATCAGTTTAAAAATAAGAGCAGACATTCTTGCCTCAAAGCAAACTGAGATGACTCAGAAAGAAATATACAGCAGTTATGAAAGCCAGGTAATTTTTAAAAAATTATTCCAAAATTACATGTTAAAGAGATTGGATTAAGAGGGCATGCTCTACATTAATGTGTTAGCTCTATAACTATATCACCAATAATTATCGAGACATGTGGTGATTACGATCAGGAAAGAGACTAGGAGTTTGTGTTTCTGGACAAGAAACACAAAAGAAATTAAATGAATTTCAATTTTTAGATCTTTCCAAAATGTCAAAATCTTAAACTATTAATCTCCTTATGAAGCAAAGCCAGAAAATCAATTTAAATATGAATTAAAGTAAAGGTTGTCTATTTAAAAAGAAATCAAAATGCATAAAAGTGAAGTTTACTTAATTTTGCTTAAGTTATTAAATAAAATGTTACCTCCATCACGTTTTTCTGTTTTTAAAAAAAACTTCCCAGCCTAACCTAATATACATACCTACAATTAAACAGATAAACTATGGGTTAGAAAGGTCTCAAAAAGGCATATTGGTGTCTACACACTAAACAACACAGCACAAATACTAATTCAAATCAAACTTACTCAAAGTCATAATCAAACATGCCAGACGGGCTGAGGGGCAGCATTTGAAAGGAAGAAAGCAATAGAAATTAATATACTAATTGAATAAATTAGTTGATTAGCCACCCTAGCAAGATTTGTAGAAACAAAATCAGCTTTAAGAATCTTAAGCCATAAAGTTTCAAATATCAAAGCACCAAAGGTTCTATGGGAGACCCCCCACCCCCAATGGAGTTCATATCAGAAGAATAGACTATGAAAGGAAAAATTATTGCATCAGAAACTATGATACCTGGAGTCCTTTTATTAGCTGCCAGATTCAGAGTTAGAACTTTCAAAATATTAAATTGTAATGAAAAAAATATAATTAGGGCCTTAGAAGAAACACAGAAAGAAGGGTTTAGTCATACAATGAAAGGTGCTTTGAAGACAGTACTAACAGCTCAGTATTATATACTTTCACTAAAATTAAAGATGACAACATTCTAGACTTAGGAAAAAAGAAAACATTTTACAACATTTTATTCAAGTTATTGTTCTCAAGGTGTCCAGCCAAGGAACATGGTGCTCCTCCTTTTCTATAGCACTCAATCTAGAATGAATAAACCTGTCTTGTTCCAGAAACTGAAGAGCTATATTATTCTGGCCCCTGAACTGGTGATGGCAGATCACTGTTTAGGTCAGGACTACAATTAAAGTACACTCAAGTCTGCAGAGCCTCTATGAAAACAAAGGCAAATGGACATTTACAAGCACCCTTAAAACTCAGGGATTTGTATGGAGGCAGTACAGAGGAGGAGGTCATTTTGTGCCATGGCTGCTAACCGCCAGCAGTCTGGCAGACCTCCAAAGCAAACACTAACCCAGAGCATGACACCAGCTCTGTGGCTGGTTCTGATGCCTTCCAGCCTATAGACAGGTGGTAAAACAAAATGCAAATAGCTTCATTTTCCTTCCAGTCAATGTTTGCATATGTGCAGCAGGGAGGAAAGCTTAATCTCAATATCCCTATATAAGTTTCACTTACCTAAGATATTCAGGAAAGAGTATACAATAAACTTAAAGCAAGAATTAGCAAGTATCTTCCTTTCAGTCTAACTTAATTTTGTTCACTAAAGCAAAATAGATCGTACCTAATCAAAATTTCACAAACTCACTGGAAGAATTCTGGGGTTTGGTGTAGTAGTAAAAACCTACAAGAGCAGCTGTAAGTTATTATTTCAACTTTTTTCTTTAAAGACACTGCAACTTAATTATTGTTCAGATTATCATGTAAAATATAAGAATTCAGAACACTGTTCACTTAGGAATACTAAAAATTATTTGTTAATTTTCACATTCTTGAAGAGGGCAAATTCAATTTATTTCCTTTTGCTAAAATACCGTAGGAGCTCTGGTAGCGTAGTGCCTAAGGCACTTGACTGCTAACCAGAAGGCTGGCGGTTCAAACCCTCCGGCTACTCCTCGGAAGGACAATGGGGCAATGTACTTCTGTAGTGGTTCTGTCTCGGAAACCCAAGGAGGGGTCGCTATGAATCGGTGCAATTCGGCACATAACAACAACAACAACAAAATACCATATCTATTTCCACTTTGCTTTGTTCATTACTATATAGTGCCTAAGGCGCTCTGGTAGCACAATGCCTAAGGCATTTGACTGCTAACCAGAAAGCTGGTGGTTCAAACCCACCAGCTGCTGTGCAGAAAGAAGACTGGGCAATCTACTTCCATAAAGGTTTACCACCTAGGAAACCCACTGGGGGTTGCTATGAGTCGGAAGCAACCTGATGGCAGTGGGTTTGGGTTTTTCTGGTTTTATACAGAGCCTGGCATATAGTGGGTAATCAAACATTTGTTGCAATAATCTACTACTGACTTTATCTGACTACATGGGTGTGGCACATCGGAGGAGAAACAAGTACTGTGCTAGGTACAAACTTACAAACATGTACAGACAAAGTGCTCTACCCCCACCCATGATCTGTCAGCCCCACTAAGCCATGAGTCAGGGGCAAAGGGTTCGGACCAGACACAACACTAGACTAATGTCCAAGACCCTTAAATGGACCCTAGTGGCCCCTGGAACCTGGATTCCCTGGAAACAAGGCCACACGTGCCAAAGGCAAGGGAGCAGCCAGCCAGATACTAAACCAAGGGATAGACCAAAGGACAGCTATATACACCAGGATCCTGCTTTCCAAAGAGAAAACATCATTTTGAGAGCAATAATTAACGCCAAGGACCTTTATAAATCCTCGTATTTTTCTGGAAGGAGTTATCTTCTAAGACCAAGAGAGGAAAGAATATTAATAAGTATTTTCCTATGTAATTTTACTAAAAGTCTGTAAGAAGAGAATTAAGTTTAAGGCCTAATGTCCTTTTTTGGTCATCAGCTGATCACTTCACTCATGAAAATGACGTATTACCTGAAATGAACAATAGCTATTTAGACTCTGTAATATCAGTAAAGGAAACAAAAGTTCCAGAAACTTTCAAAGTTTTTTCCTCTACTCTAAACCTACTGCTGTCAAATTGATTTTGCTTGACACTCTGAATGAGCAAAAAGAATCATGCCTTAAAAATGAAAGTGGAATAAACTTAATGAAAGCAATACAGAGTATGATATTTAATTATCTTGACTTGAAAAATAAAATTTGAATTAAAAAATTAATTTAAGACTATGGCTCTATACTACTATTTGTGATAAATTAGTACCAGTCCTATTACAATAGTCAAACAACCTATAGCCATATAAAGAAAAAAATAGACCATTTTTGCTATTTCTCATTATGGTTAGAAGATTAGCATGGTAACTCTGATTTACAGGAAAATGTTAAACAGCAGCAATCCTTATTCACAATTTGGAGGTAATATTGCTTCTGCAGTCTAAAAAACAACACAGCCATCAATGAGAAAAACTCTTAAAAGAATAAAACCTCAATCAGTTGATGTCAAAGAAGTTAAAACAAGATAGGGTAATTATACATTATCCCCACATGCCACATCCACAAAGTAACAACTGTCATACCCTGGGTGTGTGAAGGAATACCCTGTGTAAAGCAACTCAACCCAGAAGCAAACTGGAGCACACACCCCACCCATTTCTTGCATGCCCCCTTTCACCTCCTCCACATGCATTATTTCCAAAAGGAGTGAACAAAAGCCAGTCTATGGGTACCTGGTTTCCATGCCTCCCAGAAAGTCTGAGGCCAGGCAAGATTCTTTACTCTAAAAACTACGCATAACCCTCTCTTGCTAAGTACATCTGCATAATTTCCAATCATCTCAGTTAACAGGTCCCAGCATTATCACACAAACCGCAAGCAAAGTGAACGCTAAAATTGTCTCTGGGAGATACTTGACCTCTCTGTGAACTTATGTCATTCCTATCTCATTATACACTGCAAAAAAACATGGTGGACGGTGGACAATGTTATCTAGGAAACACAAAAAACCTAGTGGTATTAATACTAAAAGTATTTCATAGGCTTTATGTTGTTCCTCCAGGATCTGAAGTCAGCATGTTGCAGAAACACATAAAATCAAAGAAATCACAAGCGATCAGAAAAAAAAAAAAAAACCTTGTATTTAAAAAGGCAAAAAAGCTTTCACCCAAATCAAATTAAAAAAAAAAAAAAAGCAAACAACACATAAGAGAGCAGTTTTCTCCATCCAGAAGGAAATGAGAGGAGGCAGGGTTCAGAATTAAGAGCAAAGTAACTTTATTCCACTTTGCAGCTTTCCTACATGTTCTAGTGACATTTTTCAAATACTATCACACAGATTCCATTTCTATTTCCCCTTTTTCTCATCTAAAAGGATCCCAAATTTGCCATATTAAACTAAGTTTTGTTGTTGTTGTTATGTGCCATTAAGTCGGACCCAACTCACAGCGACCCCTCCTTGGGTTTTTGAGGCAGTATCTCTATGAAAGTAGATTGCCCCATCCTTCCTTCCGCGGAGTGGCCAGAGGGTTTGAACTGCCATCCTTCTGGTCAGCAGTCAAATGCCTTAGTTACTATGCTACCAGAGCTCCTAAACTAAGTTTTAAGGGAGTAAAATTCTCCTACACTGTAAGAGTGAGAAGGGTGACCTGGAGTCCACCTTCAAGTTTACTCTAATGCCCATCAACTCTTTCCCTTACAGAGAAAAATCAGCCCATTTCTTTTAGACCAAAGGAACTCCTTCCCATCATCAAGAGAAAGATTTTGCAATAATCATGAGGAATTTTACTCTAGGAAAGTCAGTTTACAGAAATGGTCAGGGGCGCGCTGGGAGTGGGTAGCAGTGCCACCTACCTGTGCCGGTTTTTATTCTTTCGTTTTTTATGGCTGCTGTGATGACTCCCTGAGGAAGTGGAAGAAGCAGCCTTCTGAGGTTTCACTCCCTGCACAGATCCATCTAGATCCTCAGGATCCTCCTGGCTGGGCTCATTTTCCTGATTATGGAAATCTGGAGAAGTATCACTTTCTGTCCCACTTCCTGGCTCCCCTGGAGGAAATAAACACAAATGCCTAAAGGAATCATCAGCAATCCTCAGCAGATTTGCTCATCAGTCAGGAAAGAGTTTTTGAGCACTATTGTTAGGTGCCATGGAGCTGGTTCTGACTCACAGTGACCCCACGGGACACAGTAGAACTGCCCAATAGGGCTTCCTAGGATGTAATTTTTATGGGAGCAGATAGCCAGGTCTTTCTCCCATGGAGGCACTGGGTTCAAACCACCAAACTTTCCATTAACAGTCACTTAACCTTTGAGCCTCTACAGCTCCTTTGAGTATGTAGAAAAAGACTATTTTCTATCCTCAAAGACCAAACATTCTAATTGACAAGAAAAAATCAAATCATCAAAGTTCCCAGTGTTCCTAGAAAACATGTCATCTGAAATAGGCTAATCAGAGGCAACAAATCTAAGGACAGCTGGGAGATGGCAACATACAACCAGGATAACCTCATTGAATCAAGATTATTTAAACACAAAAAACCTAGTGGTATTAATACTAAAAGTATTACTAAAACATCAGACAGATTTCCAGGAGGTGAGAGGAGGGAACTGTCTGTAACTGGACCTGATTCCTTCCCTAAACCATACAAAAAGCCCATCTTTCTATCAAGAAAAAAGGGCTCAAGAGGGAGAAGAACTCCATTCCCTGAATTGCTCTGAGAAGTCTTAAAAATGTTTTTAACCACAGTGATCAACTTTCAGCCAAACAACAGGCCTATAAAGTAGGCAGTAATACCTATGAGAAACACACTCCTCAGAACAACCACATGAGACCAAAAGGGCAGCATATGCCCAAAAACAAAGCTAGAAGGCAGCAAGGGACAGGAAAGGGTGAATGGAAAGGGGAAAGCCAGAGAGAAGTGGGCAAAGTGTTGTTACACTGAGGGGATTAGAACCAAGGTCATAAAATAAAACGTTTATCAATTGTTGAATGGAAAACTAATTTGCTTTGTAAACTTTCACCCAAACTACAATAAAAAGTAAAATTTATATATACATACATTAATTTTTAAAGAAGTAACAATACTCATCAGCAGGCACACAGTCCCAATTTTAAAACATCTCTTAGCTATATTATATAAATTAAAGCAAGGTCAACAACAACTTGTATAAACATGTATTTTTAAAAATATAATTACATATGGTTTAGTAAATGCATACTTTTTTTTTCCTGAAAACAATTTCCTGAAATCCTTAAGAGACAAGGATGAGGGAAGACTATCATTTTACTGAACCAGTGAAGATTACTAAATAAACATTAAACTCACTGCCTTGAATCACAGCGACCCCTCCTTGGGTTGTTTCTGAGGCAATGTTACTATGGAAGTAGACTGCCCAATCTTCCTTCTGAGGGGTGGCTGGTGGGTTTGTCAGCCTTCTGGTTAGCAGTCAAGTGCCTTAGGCACTACACCGCCAGAGCTCCTGAATAAACATTACCTGTTTCTAAAAATTGACAAAAAAGGGTTATGTGGGTAACGGGACCAGACTTCTTTCTTTGTATGTTAGTATCAGAACTGCTGGGAAGAAAGCACATGGAGAAGAGAAATAAAGAAAAGACTTCACAAAAAAAAGCATAAGATAAGAACAGAGCCAGATCTCTCAAGTCATGAAACCTATTTTTGTGCATTTCAAAAAAAGTAACAGAAGGGGGAGCTTTAGGACTATGAAGCAGAAAAAATATACCATACAATCTTGCCTTTCTAAAGTTAAGAAAAACTGATTTCATATGAAATTAGCAAAAGCTTTCCAAAATTCACTACAAAGCTACAATAATCAAGACTGTGTGGTACTAGCATAAGGACAGACATACAGATCAATGGAATAAATCTATTCCAGAACATGAGGTTCAGAAATAATACACTATGGTCAAGTTGTTTTCAACAAGAGCATCAAGATGACTCAACGCAGAAAGAAGAGTCTGGAAGGCCACATGCAAAAAGTGAAGTGGAGCCCTACCTTCATCATACATAAAAATTACCTCAAAATGGACCATCTAACTTAAAATAGTAAAACTCTTAAAACCAATTGGACTGAGAAACTGTTTCTTAGATACAAGAGAAAATGACAAAAAAAATAAAAAATAAATTGGAAAGAAACAAAATATAACACTTTTTTTTGTGTTGCACATGACACCACCAAGAAAGTGAAGACAACTCACAGAATGGGAGAAAATATCTTCAAATCATGTATTATTCAGAATATATAAATAATTCTTACAACTCAATAATAAAAAGACAAAACAAAAAAAATTTTTTTTAAATAGGCAAATGATTTGAATAGGCATTTCTCCAAAGAAGATATACAAGTGGCCAATGAACAAAGAAAATGATGCTCAAAATTATTAGTCATTGTTGGGTACCTTTAAGTTGATTCTGACTTACAGCAACCGTACAGGACAGAGCAGAACTGCCCCATAGGGTCTCCTAGGCTGAAATCTTTATAAAAAGAGATTGCCAGGTCTCTTCTACTACAGAGCCACTGGTGGAGTCAAAACCTGACCTTTTGGTTAGCAGCCAAGTACTTAACCATTGCATCACTAGGGCTACTTCACTGTTGTTGTTATATGCTGTCGAGTCAGCCCTGACTCACAGCAACCCCTCCTTGGGTTTCTGAGGCAGTATCACTACAGAAGTAAATAGCCCAACCTTCCTTCTGAGGAGTGGCTGGTGGGTTTGAACCGCCAGCCTTCTGGTTAGCAGTCAAGTGCCTTAGGCACCATGCCACCAGAGCTCCTAGGGCTACTTCACTAGAGAAACGCAAATCAAACCTACAATACCACGTTGGGAGCTCTGGTAGCGTAGTGCCTAAGGCATTTGACTGCTAACCAGAAGGCTGGTGGTTCAAACCCACCAGCCACTCCTCAGAAAAAAGATGGGGCAATCTACTTCCATAGTGATACTGCCTCGGAAACCCAAGGAGGGGTCGCTATGAGTCAGGTCCGACTCGACGGCACATAACAACAACAACAACATACCACGTTACATTCACTATGATGGCTATATTTAAAAAGATAAGCAATCATGAGTGTTGGTGAAGAAAGGAGAAACAGAACACTCATACACGGTATGGTCACTTTGGAAAACAGTTTGACAGTTCCTCAAAACTGTAAATAGAGTTATCATTTGACCCTGCCATTCCATTCCCAAGTATATGTACAAGAGAAATAAAACATCGAGCCACATAAAAATTTGTATATGAACGTTCACAGCAGAGGCGCTCTGGTGGCACAATGGTTAAAGCATGTGGCTGTGAACCAAAAGGTCAGCAGTTTGAACCCATAAGCTGCTATGTGGGAGAAAGATGAGGCAGTCTGCTTCTGGATTTATAGCCTTGGAAACCCTATGGGGAAGTTCAATTCTGTCCTAAAGGGTCACTATGACTTGGAATTGACTCGATGACAGTGGGTTTGGTTTGGGTTCAGTTCATAATGTTGTTGTTGTTGTTATGTGCCGTCGAGTCAGCCTTGACTCATAGCGACCCCTCCTTGGGTTTCCGAGGCAGTATCACTACGGAAGTAGGATTGCCCAACCTTATAGCATTATTTATAACAGTCAAAAAGTGAAACAAAATAAGTGTTTTTTGGGGAAGGGTATAATAATAGTGTTAAGAGTCAGTCTATCATTTACTAAACTGTACACATAAACATGTTGAATTGGCCAATGTATTACACAGCTACGCTTCACTTATCAACTATCTCATTATCCAACATTCTGCATTTATGACAACTTTGAAACAATTCAAGGAGCTCTGGCGGCATTGTGGTTAAAGCTTTGAGCTGATAATCAAAAGGCTAGTGGTTTGAACCCACTAGCTGTTTGCAGTGTAGTAAATTACTTTGTGTGGTTTTTCTACCCATAAGTCTTTGTAAACTCCAAGGTGGGATTTGCTATGAGCAACTGAGGAGCTCCTGATTGCTGAAGGTGTCCATCCGGAGTATTTCTGTTGGGAGTGGCACAAAACAATGTTCTGGGAGGTGCCCACTCTCTCTCAGGTG